AGAGCGGTTTTCCGTCGTCGGCGTCGTCGGCGTCGCGGTCGTCGTCGCCGACGTCGTGGTCGCCGCGCCGCCGCCACCGTCGTCTCCGTCATCGTCGCCGTCGTGGTCGTCGTCGTCGTCGTGGTCGCCGTCGTCGTGGTGATCGACGTCGTCGTCGTCGTCGTCGTCGTCGTCGTCGTCATTGTCGTCGTCGCCGTCGTCGTCGTCTTGGTCCTGGTCGTGGTCGTGGTCGTGGTCGTCGTCGTCGTCGTCGTTGTGCGTCGCCCATCGCCAATCCTCGTCAGTCGTCGTCCTTCCTTGCCCTTCCCTTCCGTCTTCCGCCCGCCTTCGTGTCGCTGATTAACACAATTCGCGCGTGGCCCCCGGAGCCCCGGGGCTCTCCCAGGTTGCCGAAAAACTCGCACCCCATGTAAAAATGCAATGTGCTCTACGCTGGTCTTCGGGATCGCGGCGGCCGCGGTCGCCGTGGTCGTCGTGACCGTCGTCGCCGTCGTCGTCATCGCCGCCGCCGCCGCCGCCGCGGTCGTCGTCGTCGTCGTCGTCGTCGTCGTCGTCGTCGTGTGCGTCGTCGTGGTCGTCGTCGTCGTCGTGTGCGTCGTTGTGGTCGTCGTCGTCATCGTCGTCGTCGTCGTCGGCGTCGTCGGCGTCGGCGTCGGCGTCGTCGTGTCGTCCGTTCGGCGTCCGTCGTCGTCAGCTGTCGCCGTTCCTCGCCCCGCCCGCCCCGCCCGCATGTTGCGCCTTTTCCCCACTACTCAGCAAAACCCGCGCGGCGTTCCAGGAGTTCGGAGGTCCCCGAAGTAGCCTCACACTATTCACTGCGTAGAACTCGCATAGGTATGTGTATTTCATACTCCTGTCGTCTCTCGCTGAAGAATTATGTCTGTGAGCATCTGGGTGTAAAGGCGCGTCGGCGTGGACGACGGGCGCGACAACGACGACGGCGACAGCGACGACTTCAGTGACTGCAGTGGGCATCATCCAGGAAAGATGGGGGATGGGGGAAGTACCAGTGGAAGAGCGAGCGGACACTGGACCACCAAAGGAGAGAATAATGCATACATCTGAGCATGAATGATCTGAGTGTGAATGAGTTCGCATGTGAATGAACCTGGGTAAGATTGGATGCGAATATCAAAGACTCTATGGGAAAGTCTGGGTACGTCTGGGCCTGTGAATGCGTAAACCTGATTACGCGTGCGCGTGGACGATCGCGGTTCGAGGATCGAACATCCAAGCTCGAGGTTCGAGGACCGAGGCATTTGGATGTCTGTGGACGGCGTGGCACCTCCTGGGCCCCAAGGGTGTTCCAAAGGCCTCCGCGGACCACTGGGCGCCGCTGGAGACCCCCCGAGACCTTCGAGGACCTCGGTCAGCCTACTTTCGAAGCCCAAACCATCCAGTTCCTCCGCCCGCTCGGAGTGAAGGGTGACTCTCGGGACGGTTCAGGCGCCCCCGTTTCAGGCAGGGGAGGCGGAAAAGCAGCAGCAGCAGTTGCAATGTGGTCAGAAGTAACCACGCAAGGAGGCCCCCTCGCACGCAACAGGGGGCACCCACAAACTGCACCTGGGAGCGCTCCGGCTTTCGTCCAAAAACTGCCCCAGGGGGCCCCCGGATTTCATCCCAAAGCCTACCCTGTGGGGGGGCGGGCTTCAGCCAAAAACTTGCCCCTGGAGGCCAGCCAACAAACATCCCAAAGCTGATCCAGAAGCCCAGCCAACAACCTAACACAACTTCCAACCCAAAAACTCATCCAATATTCTAACACTCTGACTACCTACCAGACCACCCCAACCCAACCCGAAGACCCGAATTTCGGGCTGGAGGAGGGTCAGGGTTCCGCATGTGCTTTTTCGATGTTTCCCGACCCCCTCCACACTGGAAATCGAGGGTAAATCTGAGCCTTCGGGTTGGGTTGCGGTGGTTTGGTGGGCGGTGACATTCTGCTTTATACCGAAAACTGATGACCTTTTGGATATCTTTTCCGACGATGCTCTCGGGTGGTCCGCGGGCACGGGCCCCCGCGCGCCTCCGCTGGCGGGGGTCCCTCCTCCTCCCTCGGGCCCCCGCCGGCCCCCTCGTGGCGACCGGCGTTGAGGCAGATGACACCTCTTGGGGCCTCCTGGGGCCTCTTGGGGTCTCCTGTGGCCTCCTGAAGTTTCCTGTGGCCTCCTGAAGTTTCCTGGGGCCTCGTGTGGTTTCCTGGGGCCTCCAGGAGCCTCCGGGTGCCTCCTTGGCTCTCCTGGGGAGGAGCCGTGCCCCAGGAAAGGCCCAATCTACACGAACAAACGCAAAATACTTCGGATTGGAACCGCAGGAAGGAGGCAATCTATATGAACACGCGAAAAACACGAAGGACTCGTGCCCCACGGGAAACTTTATCTGTAGGAACAAACGTATAACACTTAAAAATGGATGCGCGGAAAAAAAGACAATCGATGGCAACATACGTAAAACAACAAGGATCCGTGTTCCAGGGGAGGCCCAATCTATAGGATGTTGCTGGCTTCGCCAGTCCTGTGGGTTTCTGGAGTTTCCTGCTCCTGGAGCTTCGTGGGGGGTCCTGAAGCCTTCCGGGGCCTCTTGGTGCCTCCTAAAAATTATTGTGGCCGGGGGCCTGCTGGTATTTCCTGGGGGGTCCTGGGGCCTCTCGGGGCCTCCTGGGCCCTCCTGTGGCTTTCTGGGGCCTCCTGTGGCTTCCCGTAGCCTCCTGATGCCTCCTGGGGCCACCTGTGGCTTGGTGGGGTCTCTTTGGACCTGGTGGGGCCCCGTGTGGCATCCTGGGGAAAAGCCGTGCGAACGAGTCCGGCCAGCAAAATAGTTAAGCAAACCGTTCGAAACATCCTCGCAATTTGGGCCACCAGGGGTGCGAAAAAAACACCGCCTCGCCCGAGACATCCTTCAAACCTTTTCCGACAGCGGAAAACGTTGGGAACCACAACAGGCACCCCGATCGAGACATCCCCGCCACTATGGCGCGAACGGAGGAACGCGATACATCCTGGCAGCCCCCCTCTGGGAATGCTGACGCCCGCGCCTCGCTAGGGACATTCTTAGAGTCAGCTTCGACAGCGGAAGAAATTGGCGCGAACAAATGAGTGCAATACCCCCCTGGCAGGTCCCCATTCAAAATATTCCGCCAACGCCATCATCATTATCACCACCATCAGCATTATCATCGCCACCGCCACCATCATAACAGGTCACGGCGTAACGTGACAGAGCAAATCATAACACGACCTGCGGTGGCAAACCATAACATAACATAACGTAGCACGACTCGATATGTCTCTACATAACGTCGCACCTGATGGCGAGCATGCGAGAGGAATAACGAAGTGAGTGGCACCCAAATTTCGACCGTCGAGGCGCGCAACTCGACGTGGACCTCCTGTGCGGGCACCCCTACCAGTATCAGTGCGCACCGCCCTGCAATAGAGACGGGCCCTGAAGGACAGTCATGGGGCCCAACGATTTCCCCGCAAACCCCAAAACCATATCTTCATCCTGAACCTTTCTTTCAGAGGCCCCAAGACACAGGGAAAACGCCCCAGAAACCCGATGACGCCAAATGGTTCTCGCAGCCTGCATACAGGAATCGCCTCATCCCGCCCCCGCCGTCATCCACCGCCCCCCTCCGTGCCCCGCCCTTCCAACCCCCACCCATCGCCGCTTCTGGTTTTGCACGCGTCCTGTTTTTCCTCTTCCACCCGCGCAAACGTCCACCCATCCCTCATTGTTGCTCGAAGAGCCAGCGCAGCGTTGGAACAATGCAAAAGAACGCGCCGTACCTGCCCGGGACAATGCTCCACCCGACCTGGGATAGGCGAGCCCGCGCTTGCAACCGCGGTTCGGGGGAAATTGGCAGCAACGCGGAGCGAACGCGATGGTGGCCCAAGCGGCCAAGAGCATCATCCGCGCGCGTAAACACCGAAGAAGAATATGCACGACGTCTCGACCAAGGTAGGCAACGTCGCCACGAAATTCTTGCCTGCGTTTGCCAGGCAACTCCAGACACGAAGGGGGGCGGAGGACTGCAGGGGGAGTGCGGACGGAAAGCAGCCAATTCTTTTTTATATACACTCACATATATGCATATATATATATACGTATATCTATATATATATGTATGTGTGTGTCTGTGTAGATACATATAACTGGGCCTCGCGGCCGGAGGGGAACAGGAGGCGCGGAGGATGCATCGACAGGGAGACGGGGAACTGGAGGGGCGCAAGGAAGATGCGAGGCAGGGGAGGAACGCTTAAACATCCGGATCGAACAGACAAGAGGGGAAGCAATTTTGTGCAACTCGAGCGAGTCTGCGGCCCTCGGGCGACCCCGCCGTCGCTCCCATGGAATGAAGAGTTGTTTTTGGCGGACCTCGGGCGGGTCGCTCCCAGGAGTTCCTCTCGCCGCGGCACTCCGCCCGGAGCGGTGCTGAACCCTGGGCCGAACCTCGCCACTTGCGCGAAAAATGCGATCCGTTCCTGCCGCGCAGAACGCAAAACCGGAAGAAAGCATCTTCAAGAAATTCCAGCGCGATAACGTAATAATGGGGGCGCCCGGCTTCGATGCGAAACTTCTGGCACTCAGAAACCATAGCAATGATAATGCCACGCTGGCACGACATTTGGGTTTGGGACATTGAACAGACTGTTTCCGCAAGCCTTTCAAAGGATGTCAAGCAAGAAAAAATAGAAATCAATGATTTACGATATGACTCACTGCTGTTGGCAACAGGCGATCATGTAGTGGGCTGTGGATCCTATGCTGCTTCGCTCTCCCCGCGAGGGGCTGCAGGGCGTCCTTGACGGGTGTGCCGGCCATGCGTATGTGTTTTAACGTAGGCGGGGACGACATACCTCCACGAGGACAAACGCGGATCTAAAAAAAGATAGTGCTTGTGTTTCTGTTGTTGTTCGGGAGGTCCTGAGGCGGCAGTGGAAGGTGCAAGGGTGAAGAGTGGAGCAGAGGCAGGGCGCAGCCCCGCGCCGGAGGGGGGCCTTGGGGTGCGGCCTGCGCCGCGGCGACGTAGACCGAATAGTCGGACGCCTTGAGGTGGGCCTATGCGCTGCCGTGGCCGGTGGGTCCGCGAGGGAGCGGCGCGGCGGCCGTCGCCGCCGGCTGCGAGGACCAGGAGAGGCAGGACGCGAGACGAGGCGAGACCGCCGTTCCCACACCGAGGTGCAGCCCTCGAAGGAACAGGCGGGAGGGGTCGCAGCCTGGAGAGGGTCAGAGCTGTTGCCGCGTGATGTGGCCTGTCAGCGAATACCATGCTCAGCTAGGGCGGTACGACGTGCCACACACCATGGTTGACTGCCATGTCACCTCATAGACGAGACTGTTTGCATGAACCTCACCAGCCACATGATCGAACAACATAACATAAGCCTGCGCTTGCGGAGGTTCGCGCGGATTTCTTGGATCGGCGCTGGCCCTAATTCCCTGGCGCGCAGAGCGCGCCAGGGGCGGCGTCAGAGGCGCCGACAGGGGGCTTTGGCGTCGATCCAAAAGATCCGCTCGGACACCTCGCCATCGCTCGGGCGTTCATTTCCCGTGGACTTTTCGATGTTGTGCGCTTATATGCTCGCAAGATGATCCCAAATGCTCCTCGATGATCCCCTCGCCGACAAAAAATGCACACGCCCCAGCGATGCCAAGGGGGGGCTCCAGCGACGATCCATGAAATCCGCTCGGACACCCGAAGGGTTATGTTTGTGCCATGTTTTGTCCCTCGAAGAGAGGAATGAACGGAGGCCGCTCAGACGAGCGGCTAAAATGGGCAGGCTTTTCGCCTGGCTGGCCGTCGCTCGGACGTCCATTCCCCGTGCGCTTTCTGGCCTCGTGCGCTCATTTTTCGCAAGCTGATCCAGGATGCTCCTCGATGGTCCAGCCGAGAAACATGGACACGCGCGAGTGATGCCAAGACGCAAGAGGGCATGATTAACGAACTCACGCCGCGGCCCGCACAAGGCCGCCAGCGCGGCGCGCTACAGTTGAAACGAGGGCATTTACTTTACGCGCCATTCTGTGGTAAGTTCGTGCGGCGTCGGCGCGCGCAAAGGATTGTGACGCCGTGTCGATCGGTCAACTTTGAACCGATCGCAGCCCTGATCGTTCAAGGTTGAAGTCCGTCGGGTCCTGTGGAGTTATCGCGCCCCTCGGTGCTTCCGCGTCGCAGAATTCAACCTTGAACGCCTTCGCGAGTGTCGCCGGCGCGCCAACGCCGCATGAACCTATCGCAGAATACTGGAGCGCAGAGTGGGGACACACAAGGTGCACAAGGGGTCTTGTGCCGAGCAGCGCTCGGCCAGCAGTAGTCCGAGCCCAAGGGCAAGCACAAGAGCCCCGCACAAGGCGTACAATGTCACCCGCACAAGGCTTCTGCGCAAGACTCGCGCGAGTGCCCTGTTCATTGGGAAAAATACTGTGCGCAACAAGAGGGCACAGTTAAGGATCTCCCGGCGCGGCCCGCCAGGGGGGTGAGGAGCGGAGGCCAGCCAAATGGGACTGGAGCAAAGACTCCACCCAGATCTTCGCTGTTTCGGCTCCGCGGCAGCCCACATTATTGTGGAGCTATCGTCCAGGTTGCTCTGGCTCCGCCTCCTCCTCCTCCGAAATGAGAAGTCAACAAAACCACTGCAACATCGTCGAGACACTCGAACAGAGCCCTGGGACTCGACAATTTGTTCAACTTCATTTTCTGGGGAAAAATACCGATGCCGCTGCTCCCCAAACCTCTTCCGGGGTGCGCTGTGACCATTTTTTTCTGAGCGAAACTAGCCGTGACGGCGGTGGCCTCCCAGGATGCCCAAAAAGGGGAAAACAAGGAGACCGGTGTGGGAGTTCCCTGGGACGCCCACTGGAACCCGTCAAAAAACTCCCAAAACACTTTTCTATAGTTTTTCCCCCAGAGCCGGGGGGGAGGAGCTTGGAGAGTTTTTTGGAAGGTTCCGGAGCCCGACGGTTAACAACAACACTATTTCTGCAAAGTCCCCCGCACACAACCCCCCCCCCCCCAAAAAATAACGCCCCCCCCCCCCCCCCCCCGAAAAACCAAAGAAAAAAACCATCAGACGCCTTACGAGGGCCCCAAGACGGTCCAAGAGGCGCCCAAGACGGCCCCAAGAAGGGCTCAAGAGGGGGAAACCTGAAGAGACATTTCGAGCTTTCCGCCAGCAGGTTCAGCTCGCCAGCAGGTCCCCAAGAGGCCCCCAAAACGCCCGCAAGAAGCCCCCAGGAGGCCCCAAGACGCCCCCCAGAGGGCCAAAAGAGCCCCCAAGAAGCTCCCAAACAACGCCCAGTACAACCCAGGAGCATCCACAAGCCTCTTCCCCATGGCCCAGGCACGGTGGCGAGATTTACCGCAGGCTCCTCTTGGACCCCCTTATCCCGCATCTGCTCATCCCCCTCCTCGTTCTCCACGGCCTTTTCTTTCGTCCTCTCCTCTTCCTTCATGCCTCGTCGCCCCCTCCTCCTCCTCCTCTTCTTCCTCCTCCTCCTCCTCCTCTTCATTATGATCATGCTCTTCGTTTTCCTCCTTTCTCCTCGCCACGCCCACATTTGATAAAAGCATTGCGTCTTACATGATGCGAGCATTATGGCCCTCCCGCCCTTACGAGCACACTCAACAGTCAACTCGTCCCCATAATCCCTCCAAGGTGGCCCAAGAGCCTTCCGAAACGCCCCACAACCCTGCGGGAACTCCCACTCCGCAACAAAAATTCAACGGGGTCGGCGGACGTGTCGTAAACTTATAGAAATCATGCAGAACGAGCGTTTCACTCGAGACATCCTCAACCCAAAATCTGCGGGCCCACCTCACCCGCATCATGCATCGAAGAAAGAATCCGCTGGTCCAACTCAGTAGGAGCAACGGGGACATGTCTGCCCTGCCTACTGAAACAGAGCCTTGAGCCTGCGTCACCTCGGGGAAAAAGCGTTGGCATAGAGTTTCGGAGCCCCGAGCGAACTTCTTGGATCGGCGCTGGACACTCCTCCATGCTGCGCCGAGCGCGCCAGGGGCAGCGCCTGAGGCGCTGGAGACGCCAAGCGCCACTCCAAGAAACCCACCCCGAGCTCCGAAACATTGTGCTTGTGCCAGTTTTGCTTCCTCCACAATGTCAGTGGCGGGACATGTTTCCTTGGGTGCAGCGAGAAAGAATGTGTTTACATCACGGTCCACAACTTCGGGCAAACAACCACCTGGACCCCCAATATGACCCCGAATAGCCTCGCGAGCTGACAATGACGAATGGAATGCCCTAAGGGCAGATCTGTGAGTGTAAGGCAAAATCGAACACCTGCTGAGTAGTTGGAACTCTGCAGCGAACATTGCATCGGCGAGAATACACTCCGAACTCACTGAAACACTAGCACTGCAACACATACCAGAAGACGGCGCGCGCCGCCTGGCCACGCGTACCCATACTTCCTGGAAGCGTGGCAACTATATGCCTTGAGCGTCCCAACATGGAAACGGCCCAACACATTGCGCCTAAGCTTGCCGAGGCAAGAATATCCATCCTCACGCGCTCATCCTGCTCTCGCCTCCTCCTCCTCCTCTTTCTCCTCCTCCTCCTCACTGCGGAACTGCCCTGGCTTGGCCCAAACAAACTGAGAGCGCACGGCGAGGGCACCGAGGGCCACCATGCCTCGGGACCTCGGGGGCGGTGCGGGATGGCTCCTCCGGGACCTCGAGTCCGCAGGCTCGTCATGGTCGCTGAGTCTTCAAATGGGGTGCGCGGACGTACGCACAAGACGGCCACCTCTTCAAGGCCCCCCTCCTCCTGCTCCTCCTCCTCCTCTTTCCTCCCCCTCCTCCTCCTCCTCCTCCTCGTCCTCCACCTCCTTATCCTCCTCCTCCTCCTCCTCCTCCTCCTCCTCCTCCTCCCTCCCCCGTTGCTCCAACAAATTCTCCTCCTCCTCCTCTTTCTCGTCCTCCTCCTCTTTCTCGTCCTCCTCCTCCTCCTCTTTCTCGTACTCGTCCGTGTCCTCCCTCCTATTCCTCCTCCTTCTCATATTAATATTTTTCCTCCTCCTCCTCCTCCCTCCCCCGTTGCTCCAACAAATTCTCCTCCTCCTCTTCCTCTTTCTCGTCCTCCTCCTCCTCTTTCTCGTCCTCCTCCTCCTGCTCTTTCTCGTCCTCGTCCGTGTCCTCCCTCCTATTCCTCCTCCTCCTCATATTAATATTCCTCCTCCTCCTCCTGATCCTGATCATCATCACCACCACCACCACAACCATCGTCATCACCACCACCACCACCATATCATCATCATCATCATCATCATCATCATCATCATCATCATCATCATCATCATCATCATCATCATCATCAGCATCAGCATCAGCATCAGCATCAGCATCATCATCATTGTCATCATCACCACCACCATCATCATCATCACCACCATCATTATCACCATCATCATCACCACCATCATCATCATCATCATCATCATTATTATCATCATCGTCATCGTCATCAGCATCAGCAGCATCATCATCATCATTATCATCATCATCATGAGCATCGTCATCATCATCTTCGTCATCATCATCATCATCATCATAACCATCAGCATCATCATCAGCATCATGATCACCATCAACAGCATCATCATCAGCATCATCAGCATCAGCAGCGTCATCAGCAGCATCATCACCATCATCGTCAGCCTCATCGTCATCGTCATAGTCGTCATCATCATCATCGTCATCATCATCATACTCGTCACCATCATAATCATGAGCATCATCATCATATTCTTCATCATCACCATCATCCTTACAACACGATCATCATAATCATCATAATCCGCCGACTCTGTCGGCGTGTGCGAGGGGCTTGGCTGTTCGAGTCGTCGTCTCCGTCGGTCGTCGCCTCCGTCGTCCCCTTTCCCTGCAGCTTCCTTCTCAAGCTCGTGAGCGAGAGAAAAATATAGCAGTGTCGTAATCGAGTCGAAGGGAAGCCCCTTCCCTTTGATCCCTTCCCCAGGGGGGGGGGGGTTCCCGGGGGGGGGTGGGGGGGCAGGTTTGTTTTTCCTCGGGCGGCCTAGAAACCTCGAAAACACTCCAAATGAGGTCCGAATGCCCAAGATGGCCCCCGAGACGGCCCAAGAGGGCCCCGAGTCGCCCAAAGATCGGCCGAAAACGCCCAAGATAGCCCCAAGACCGTCCAAGAAGCCTCCAAGACGTCCCAGGCCCCCTCCAAGAGACCCCCAGGAAGCCCCAAGAGGCCCCCACGAGGCTTCCAAGCGGCCCCTAAGAGCTTCCCAAGAGGCCCACAAACTACCCCCAAGAGGCCCCCAAGAGCGCTCGTCGTCGTCGTCGTCGCCATTCAGGGTCGGCGGCACCGGCCGTAAGGCCTTCGTAATCAACAGCATCATCAACATCGGCTTCGACATCGTCATCATCCTCGTCATCATAATCATCATCATCATCATCATCATCATCATCATCATCATCATCATCATCATCATCATCATCATCACCATCATCATCATCATCATCATCATCATCATCATCATCAGCATCATCATCCTCGTCATCATAATCATCATCATCATCATCATCATCATCATCATCATCATCATGATCAGCATCACCGGCATCACCATCACCATTATCACCACCACAACCATCATCTCCCCTTCAGCATCATCATTACATCATCAGCATCATCATCAGAATCGTCATCACCATCGTCATCACCACCACCAGCATCAGTATCAGTAGCAGCATCATCATCATCATCATCAGCAGCATCATCATCATCATCATCATCATCATCACCCGTATCATCATAGTCATCGTCATCATCATCAGCATCATCGTCAGCATCATCACCATCATCATCATCAACATGGATATCAACATCAGCATCGTCACCGTCATCGCCACTATCTCCACCATCAACATCAGCATCACCATCAGGTTCATCATCTTCATGGCCATCATCATCATCAGTATCATCGTCCTCATAAATATCATCATGAACATCATCACCAGCATAGTCCTCATAAACATCAGCATCATCATAATCATTATCCTCATCCTCAGCATCATCGTCGTCCTCCTCATCATCATATGATCACAACCATCATCATCATGCACATCATAATCACAACAATAATAGTTATCAGCATCATCATCAACATAATACCCAGAAGCATCATCATCGTCATCCTCATCATCAACATAATCATCTTCATCAACATCTTGATGGCCATACTCATCATCATTAGCATCAACATCCGCGTCAACATCCTCATCATCGTCATCATCATCGTCAGCATCAACATCAACATCAGCAACAACATCATCATCATCAACATCACCATCCGCTCCCTCTCACTGAGCATCCTCTTCCTCCTCCGCTTCCTCACCCTTTTCATTCCTCCACCCTCCTCCCTCCGTCCGTCCCTCCTTCTTTTCCCCTCCCCCCGTCACTCCCTCCATTCCTTCCCCATCCACCGCTCCATCCCCCAGCCTCTGATACTGCCTCTGCAGGCCTCCGCATCCACAGGTGTACACTACGGCTTTGTGTCATGTCTGCATTGGTCAGGGGGTTCTGTCCAGCCGCCGAACTCGATGCGCGAAGCTAGCTGGTGCGAAAGAGAGGGAGATAGATAGAGAAAGAGAGACAGTGTGAGCGTGCGTCTGTGAGGAAGGCGGTCCAGGCTTCTGGCTGTCGTTCCGTTCCCTCCCACGCTGCCTGGGTCATGCACTTGTCGCTGGCTCTGGTTACTGGCGCCGCGTCCTCCGGATCTCCTCCCGGCTGCACACGCAGGACTCTGTCGTCTCGCCCGCCCTTTCGGAACACGGCTGATACCTGCAAGCCTTTCTTATCGCCTGCGCGCCGGCAAACGAGGGCGTCTGTTCCACTTCCGGGTTTTTGAACAGCCCTCCTGCACGCCGGCAGAAGGGTCCACCGCTTACCCTTCATCCACAATGCTGGCTGCAACTTCATTGCGGTAAATAGCCCCCCCATTTGAATAATTCGCGACGGTGCCGTCACCGCGCTAAGAGGACAAAAAAGTGCGTGTCAGAGAGAGAGAGAGAGAAAGAGAGAGCAAAAAAAAGAGAGAGAAAGGGAGAGAGACGACGAGTAGGGGAGAGAGAGAGAGTGCGCGAAAGTCGAGACACAGTGTGAGAGAGGGAAGAGAAAGAGGGACACGGAGAGGCAGATTGAGAGAGAGGGCCGACGAAGAGAGGGACAGAGAAAAAGATAAACAGAGAGACAGAGAGACAGAGAGAGAGAGATCGGACCGATTGGCGCAGCAGCGTCCGGGCGCCTCGCGGCAAGCGGCGGGCGCACCCCGCGCCTTGGCTGGTGCGGGTCGGCTAAAAGAGCCCTTCACGCCCGTATTGGGCGGAAGGCCGGGGAGGAGGGAGAGGGAGGGGCGAGAGGGGGACCACCCCGGGCAAGTGGTGTGCTGTGACACTGCCTCTCGGGCCGGGCGAAAGGGGGGGATAGCAAAGGGGTGGTTTGAGAATCAGCTCACATGGCTGATTTTCCCGGCGCCTCCCGGCGCCGGAGGCGGCCATGTGTCGAGGAATGGGCCCCTCGGTGACGCCGAAACCAGCTGCGTGCAGCAGATTTCGTACCCCCCCCCGTTCCCAAACCCCCCCCTGTCGTCCCGCCCGAGCCTCGCAGCCGTCAGAATCTCACCTGTTGGGTGAAGCGAAGCCTGCACCCAACACTGGAGGAGGAGGAGGAGGAGGAGGAGGAGGAGGAGGAGGAGGAGGGGGGGGGAGGAGGTTCTCGAACAAATCACCGCATACGGTTTTTTGACGGCTTTCGGCTGCCAAGGACGCTTACCCGGCCTCTCCGGACGTGATGTTCAGCGTGACGGTGAATCGCTGGAGATGGCGGCATCCACCCGGCACCCCTTCAGGGCCCGCAGTGGGGAAGGCCGCAGCGGACGCTTGCCAGGCGGCGCACGGGCCTCGAAGAGGAGGCTAGCTGGCGCTTCTAGAGAGAAGCGTTTGGGCCGTGTGGAGGGCGGCTGCGACGGAGGCGGAGACACTGGTCGCTGAAGGGGCGAGCGAGGCCTGACGCTGGACGGTGGCGTGAAGTTCACGCAGCGTGGTGGGGTGCTGTCGCGTCGTGCGGCGGACATGGTCGGAAAGGGACTGGCCATGCTCGAGCTGGCGCTCGAGCAGCGACAAGCGGTCTGCCGCGGGCTGAGCTGAGGCCTGAGGCCTGAATGGTTTCCCCTTGCGACGGGAAGGGGGCCAGCACGGTCGTCTGAGCGGCGTGCCAGGCCCTGCGCACGACGGGTGAGATTCCCCAGCGCTCGGCCTGAGCCCGAGCGGGAGGGGGACCCGGAAGATGCGGGGCGTGCCTGAGGCGGCAAGGGTCATCGTGGCGAAGGAGGACCATAGGACGAGGCAGGCAAAGGACCACCACGGGGGCAGGCCAGGGGTGTCGCGCTGATGGTAGGATAGTGGTCAATGCCACCGTAATTGGCCAGTTGCTGGAAGAAGTGGCTTGGGTCGGCGGCAGGCAGCCAGGCGTCAACGTCAAGACTCCACAGATAACGTCCGTGCGTGAGGATGACGTACGATGGCGGCGGTAGGGGCCCGTTGAGCGTGACCGTGTGCCTCCCGCTGATTGGTCGGGGGTCGCAAGATGCAGCGTTTTGGTACAGGTCCGGAGGCACCGCACTGCCGGCGGGTCCGGCAGGCTGGGCTGGCTGGTAAGCCGCGAGAGCAGGGATAGCCCCGTCTCCCGAAGCTGAGCCCGGGAGGTTGCATGGCCGTCTTGGTGTAGCTGCGACCGACAGCTGGTGGCCGTAGTGGGCTGGGCCAAGGAGGTGCGGCCCTGGGGTCGGCAGGGGAGGGGTCCTCTGTCACCCGTAGAGGAGTTGCTGGCGTTGCTCGTGGGGACGTCGCTGTGATGCTCTCCTGCCCTGGCCGAGCCAGGCATACGGAGTCGTCGAAGGGACGACGGGGGAGTGTGCTGCGCTGGTCCCACAGGGTCGACGCCTGGGGGGGGCGCCAATGGCGGTGCCAAGTGCCAGGTCTGGCGGGTCCCCCGGTCATTGGGGATCAAAGTCGTTTGACCCGTCATCACTGGCGACGGGGCTAGTGTGCCTGAACTGGTGGTGCCCGTCGAAAGAGAACATGGCCGTGCGGTCGCGCCGCTGTCGAGGAGCGGGCCCGTGTGAGGGTGCCGATTCTGAGTGCGGTGCATCGTGTTCTGGTGGGAGGGGTGGGGCCGCGGTCAGCGGGTAGACAACACTGGGCGGGTGGCAGCCTTGGTACCCTGGTGGGGGGTCGAAGAATTCCAAGTGCGCATCCATGGCCTCGCGGCGGGCGTCGTTCACCCGCTGAATTGCGTGGTTCCGTGCGTGGCCCGTGAGCGCAGCAATGTGGTGATGACGGTCATGGCGTCCCTGGTCGCCGCGTCCCCAGGCTTCTTCACAGATTTCGCGCGCGTGGCGCGTAACGCCCCTGGAGGTCGGTCGCCTCCCATGGTGGTAGGTCCATGTAGAGACCTACGATGGCAGCTGTTTGGAGAGCAGGGAGGATCTCCTCGGACAAGTAGGGGAGCCACATTTGTCTGCCTCTGTCGGGATTGCAGAGACCTGGGAGCCACCAGGGGGTGCTACGGGCGAGGTGGTCGACCCATCTTACTCTGACCTCCAGTGCGTGTTGGGTCAGCGGGTCAGTCGCAGCTTGTGACGCACGATGGTTTTGGTGAGGCGTGCTCACTGCTGTGGCTGCTGTCTCGGTGAGTTTCCCGTGGGTCCGGGTCCGGGGGTGGGAATGGTTCGTCCATTTCGCCCTCGGGGCCCTGCGCATGATCAGCGTTGGGGTGATGTCGCGGGAGGGCCGCGCCTGAGGCGGGCCCTGCGAGTGGGGTGGGACCTGAGGTGACCTGTCACTGGGGGGGGCGTCCATTGCCCCAAGAGAGAGAGAGAGAGAGAGAAAGAAAGAGAGAGAGACAGAGACAGAGAGAAAGAGACAGAGAGCGAGAGGGGGGAACTCTCTTCAGAGACAGCAAGCGCGCGCGAAGGGCGTGCCTCCAGCTCCGCGCACCACACGGCAGCATCCTGCGCATTCTTCATCCCCGACTGCATTCCCCTCGCAGGTCGCCCATGACTCGTCTTCGTTGCCCCAACTCTGCGTGCAAACAAAACAGAGGCGTTATTAATGGAACGGGCGAGAGCAGCCAAGACGATAGACTGCTGAGAGACCTTCAGACCTAACAACTCCAAAGGCCGCCACACTTTGGCGCATATCGTGCCCGAGGCAATTGGAATGCGTAGGCTTGCGTGCCCTAGAAGGGGCCACTTACAGCACGCGTCGGCGCGCACGGCTTGTAGATACACGCATTCCATCCCATACTGATCACATTCGAGTTCGAAGTCGCCCACCAGAAAGGCTCATCAGCAGTAGAGCAACAGCGCACACTGCGAATGCTGGGGGCCCCAAGCCGTCTCGGAGGCCATCTGGGTTTTTCTTTATGTTGTCCTGAGGCGATGTGAGACCGAAAATAGGGGACCATACAATGCCATAAACATTAAAACTCGGAGGTCCGCGCGGACTTCTCGGATCGGCGCTGGGGCCCCCTGGCGGCGCCTCCGGCGCCGCCCCTGGCGCGCGGATCCAAGAAATCCGCGCGGACCTCTGAGTTTTTATGTTTATGTCACTTTTCGCTCCCCTAGAAAAGGGACCTTGGAAGCTTTCCCTGGCCGACTCGCCTGAATAGGGCAGTTTCCGAGCTGGGGAATGAACAGCGCTAGGAGGGAGGAGTCAAAGAGGAGGGGGACTTAGTGGAGGAGGAGCTCCCTCCTCCCTCTTCCCTCCCTCCTCCCTCCTCCCTGCTCCCTCCTCCCTCCTCCCTCCTCCCTTCTCCTCCCTTCTCCTCCCTGCTCCTCCCTCCTCCCTCCTCCCTCCTCCCTCCTCTTCTCCCTCCTCCCTCCCTCCTCCCTCCTCCCTCCTCTCTCGTCCCCCGTCCCTCGCCTTGGTCCTCGTCCTCGTCCTCGTACTCGTCGTCGTCGTCGTCGTCGTCGTCGTCGTCGTCGTCCTCAGCCTCCTCCTCCTCCTCCTCCTCCTCCTCATCCTCCTCTTTTACTCTTTCGCCCGGACAGAACACCTGGGCGACACAACCCGAAGGGGGGTGCCCAAGGTGCCTGCATGAATTCACATGCAGTCGGACCTCGCAACACGAACGGCGGCGCGGACCCGCCCCAGGCGTTATCCGCGCCGCCGATGCGAGGTGCCTCGAGATGCCACCCCGAGACACGGCCACCGGCACCACCCCCACTTGGCCGCCGGCCTCAAGCAGCGGAGGCCCCGCTGCCCCACGCCCGGGGACCCCTTGGAGTAACCCCATCGGGCCTCTCAGGGGTGGTACGGCGGGCCCGCACCTACTGTGGCTGGCCAACCCTTCCTCCATCCTCCATCCTCCATCCGCCATCCGCCATCATCCATCTTTCATCCTCCATCGGCCATCCTCCATCGGCCATCCTCCATCCTCCATCTTTCATCCTCCATCCTCCACCCTCCACCCTCCCTCCTCCCTCCTCCCTCCTCACAACTCCCGCCTCCCTCCTCCCTCCTCCCTCCTCGTCCTCGTCCTCGTCCTCGTCCTCCTCCTCCTCAGCGCCTGCGCGCTCCCGCAACACCCCTCCCCTGGCGGCTGGGGAGGTCCTTCCAGTCCGAGGGCCTCGGTGCCCGCAGCCTGCGCCCGGCCGCGATTCCTTCAGGCACCTCCTCCCTCCTCCCTTCTCCTCCTCCTCCTCCTCCCTCCCCTCCTCCTCCTCCTCCTCCGCCTCCTCCTCCTCCTCCTCCTCTGTCTCCTCCTCCCCCTCCTCCTCCTCCTCCTCCTCCTCCTCCTTTTCCTCCTCTTCCTCATCCTCCTCCTCCCCATCCTCCTCCCCCTATCATAATACTTCATAGTAGTATGCTTGGTAGTATTAGTAGTCGTGATCGTTTTCTTCTTTTTGGTATCAATATAATTACTGACCGTCGTTTGATTATGATTAGGGTTAGTAGTCTTATTAGTAGGAGTAGTAATGCGACTACTAATAATAATGTGTGTCTTATTATCATGCCTATTGCGATTGTTAATACAAGTATTGGCAGCCGTATTGTTACTATGACTAATAGTATTCGTTTCAGTAGTATTGGCATTACTATTACTACTACCAGCAACAGCATTATTATGAGTTCTATGTTTAATCGTATTACTAATATTGTGAGCATTAGTATTGGTAGAAGTATCCATGCGTGGTTGCTTAGCACTTGTACTATGATTGTCGTACGATTGGAAATATTACTCCTCGTTATTATCCTGGTTCGTGTTCGTATAATTCTTCTTTGCCTTCGTATTAGTATGTGTCATATTAGTATGCGTAGTATGAGCGTTCGTCTTCGCATTATCATGTACTGTTATTGTTGTTCCTCCTCCTCCTCCTCCTGCTCCTCCGCTTCCTCCTCCTCCTCCATCCTCCTCCATCCTCCTCCGTCCTCCTCCATCCTCCTCTATCCTCCTCCTCCTCCTCCTCCTCCTCCTCCTCCTCCTCTATCCGCGTCCATTCTCCTCATCCCTCCTCCTCCTCATTATCTATCCTCCTCCATCCTCCTTATCCTCCTCCTCCGCCTCCTCCTTCTCATCCTCCTCCTCCTCCTCCGTCCTCCTCCTCGTCCGTCCTCCTCCTCCGTCCTCCTCCTCCTCCTCCTCTTCTTCCTCCTCCTCCTCCTCGTCCTCCCCCTCCTCCTCCTTCATCCTTTATCCTCCTCTTCCTCCTCCACCACCTCCTCCTCCTCTTCGGTTTCTCCTTCTTCTTATTCCTAGTATGGTAAATAAAATGAATAGTTCTCTTATTATTCTTCTTAACATGATTAATGCTGTTCATATTATCATTCGTATTATCAGTACTAGTTGTAGTGGTAGTCTTATTGTATCAGTATTCGTATTATTCGTCTTATCAGTATTCCTATCATTATTATGATTCTTCGTAGTAGTAGTACCCTTCGTATCCTTCATGGTTTTCTAAATAAACGTATTAACATTCGTATTAGTCGTTTGAGTATTATCATTGGCATTCGCATTGTTGTTGGCATTATCATTATTATGAATAATAACATTATTGTTATTCGTGAGATATTCCTCATTATTCGTATCAGTCGTATTCGCATTATTCGTCTTATCATTATTCTACCTATTCGTAATATTCGTATTGGCTTTGAGCTTAGTATTCGTCAGTGTTTCGCATTCTTGATATCAGTATTCGTAGTTTTCGTCATGTTCGTTTTCGTTTTCGTGTTCGTCTTCATTTTCTTCTTATTATGATTCGTCGCAGTCTTCTTCTTACTAGTAGTCTTCTGTTTCGCATTATTAGTATGCGTATTATTGAATCGTTTCGCTCACTCCGCCGGCCCATTTCGCATGACTGAGCCTCTTGGGGCCACTGGGGGGCCTCTTCAGCGTCGCTTGGGGGCCTCCTGAGGGCCTCTTGGGGGCTTTTGGGGCCTCTCAGGGGCCTCTTGAGGCCTCCTGGGGGCTCCTTAAGGCCGAGGGCTCAACGTTTTGTTTAATGTTCCCCCTTTTGGGCATCGCTCGGGGCCCTCTTGGGCCGTCTTGGATGCCTCTGGGGCCGTCTTGGAGCCCTCTTGGGCCATCTTGGGGCCTTCTTGCTGGCTTGATTTAGGGCGGGGCTTTCGGACTCTACCGACTCAACCTGTTTTTGCATCATCGTCATTGTCATCGTCATCATCGTCGTCATGAGATTCGTCATCGTCCGCGTCATCGCCATCATCATCACTATCTCCTCATAATCGTCATCGTCATAATATCCATCATCATCTCCTCGTCATCGTCATCATCATGTAGTGATGATGATGATTAAATCAAGACCCGCACGACAATGATGGCGGCGTGAACGTGTTGATGCTAATGATGATGATGACGATGATGATGACGAAACCGATGATTGCGATGATGGTGGCGACGAAGATGATGATGCTGATGATGATGATGATGACGATAACCTTCTTTCGGACTGCGCAGGCCGTGCTGAGTACTGTGGCAGTCTAATCGGATTTGGATACTGTTGCAGTTTTTCGGAATCGGAAAGCACCGCAGCCTCCGTGGAAGCGGGCCACCGCATTTCGTCAAGCACCTCCGCGAGGTCGGGCAGCGCCACGGGGACCCGTGCCAGGTGATCGGCCACGACGTGGTTCACGACGTTGAAGAACTCCTTCGGGCCAGGCGTGGCGTCGATCCTGCGCGCCCTGAACTCCCGAAAGACGTCGGAGCGGATCATGACGGCGATCTGCAGCCTGCTGTCGTCTACGCGCTGTTGCAGCTCGTGGTGGGTCGCGAAACAGTCCTGGCAGTCCGCGGAGGCGTGGTGGTGCACGTTGTGCTCGAGGGAGGACAGGGTGCCCATGTAGAAGGACCCAGGCTTTTGCTCGAGGGTGACGACCCTTCCGCAGGAGGCGGTGCTCGAGGGCGACCCACCATCATGTGCTCCCAGGACCCCTGGGATCCTCACTTGCACGGAGCGCGTCGCGAAAATCGTCACGGCCGCGTGCAACAAAGAGCATCCGCCATCTGTGTGCCAGCCATCGTCCCGTGCGCCTGGTTGCATGAGCTGGATCGATGCGTACGCGAACGCGTTGTCGGCGCAGCGCTCTGTCATGATGGGCTTTCCGTTCTGCTCGACGATGGCAGGCGGCATGCCGTCGGCTTTGACAGCCTCGCGCATTTTGTCTCCCAGCTGTTGCAGCCACGGGCGCATCTTCTTCCGCAGCGCTCGCACGAAGGCGGCCATGTGGGGCGAGGGGGTGATCTGCAAATTCCCGTCCTCGTTGAGGCTGCGGCACTTCGGTGGGCTTTCGTCGTCCACGATGCCTGCGACCTCTGTTTTCAAGCCCTATGCCGCCTCGTCGCCTCGGACGCATTCGGCGACGGTTGCTCCCGTGCCCAGGTGCTCCTCGGCCAAGTTCTGCCAGCACGGGTCTCTCTGCAAGAAGCGGGGCAAGTCTGGGTCCAGCTCCACCTCCGCTATCGTGCCCGCGCCTTTTTTCCCTGCGCCATGGAGATGCGCACGTCGAGCTGGGCGCCAGCCGGCTGCAGGAAGCGACGAGCCCTCAGACGACTGATTGTCGCTCTGGCGCCAGGGTGCCAAAGCAGGCAGCTCTCGGCGGCCTTCAACAAGTCTGGGGGGCAGTCTGCAAGTTCGTCAACGGGCCAGCGTCCTCGGCCGTCGAGTGCCTTCGCTGTTTCAGCCTTTAGCCAACCCTCGCCCGACCGCTTGAACCGCTTCTCACAGAAAGGCAGGTTGTCCAGCCACGGGGCGGGTTCCTGGTCCTCGTAATTGTAGAAGTCTCCCGACCCTGGCTCCTTGCCTGGGATCCCCAAGACCTCCCTGCAGAAAACCACGAAGTCTTTCGGGTGCCCCCCTGGATGCCCGAGCGCGCCGCAAGGCTCTGGTTGGAACAACACCTTGCGCGTGTACAACTCCGCCATCAGGCACCCGATGGACCACATGTCCAGGTCCTCTGAGTGGCGCTGGTTCCCCAAGAAAACGTCTACCGCTCTGTAAGCGGGCGCGCATGCTCCGAGGTCATCGCAGGTCGGGCTGTAGCGCAGTTTCTTCTTCAACCTGCCGTGGGGATCCGCCATCTCCACACAGCCGAGGTCGCCGAGCACCACCTGCGGAGAGGGGCGGATGGGGGAGAGGGGAGCGACGGCGACTGAGCTCCCCCTGGAGGGAAGGGCGGGATAGAGGGCACGACGACGGCATCTCGGGGGAAGGGTGAAACCTCCCTTGTTAGAACTCGGTGTGAGACCTAACATGAAGGCTAGTGAGATAAGCTGAGCTCTGACCTCGTATGTGAGGGCGTCGTCGGAGCTCTAACATGCTATGTTAGAGCTCCATGGGAGCTCTAACACGCTATCTTAGAGCTCCATCGGAGCTCTCACATGCTATGTTAGAGCTCCCTGGGGAGATCTGACATGCTAGGTTAGAGCTCACATGGAGCTCTAACATGGCATGTTAGAGCTCCATGGGAGCTCTAACATGGTATGTTAGAGCTCCCTGGGGAGCTCTAACATACTATGTTAGAGCTCCATGTGAGCCCTGACAACTCGGGACCTTAGTCGAAGGAACGACGATGATGACGAGGATGACGACGACGACGACGAGGATGAGGAGGATGACGATGATGACGAAGACGGCGAGGACGACGACGACAAGGACGAGGAGGACGACGACGAGGACGACGAGGATGACGAGGATGACGAGGACGACGAGGACGACGACGACGAGGACGAGGAGGACGACGACGAGGACGACGAGGACGACGAGGACGGCGAGGACGAAGAAGACGACGAGGACGAGGAGGACGAGGAGGAGGACGACGACGACGGCGACGACGACGGCGACGACGACGTCGACGACGAGCGCCTCGAAGGAACCTGGGATCTGCCAGTCGAACTGCAGCTTGCTCTTTGGGCGCGGCGCGACGGGGTCCCATTCGCCAAGCTCACGTGATGCAAGTGCCTGCTTCTCGAAGCAGCCGCGCGTCTGCGGCGATGCTCGCATCGGGATGTGCGCGGGCTTGATGTCGCAGTGAATGAGGCCCCTGTCGCGCATGTACTGGAGCCCTTCGAGAACGCTGTTCAGGACGTGGCGCATCCCTGTCTGCGCAAAGGAGGACTTCTTGAGGAAT